TCTCTGAAATGTAACATTACGGAAAAACAGCCCGGACTTTGCCTCATCAAACAAAAAGCACTGCAGGGATAACAAACTGGCTTTTTAAGCCAAGAAACACACATACCAGTAAAGTCAAGTTTCTGGAAACCTATTATAACTCAGAACTGCAAAGGTATCTAAGTGTTATATAGAATAAAAAAAAAAAAAAAAGTAAAAGTCAGGCAAAACTGTCTCTTGCATGAAGACACAGACAACATACAATCAAATCTTTCCCCCTGTCCCTTAAGTGTATTTGATAGTACCTTCTGAAGCTCTCCAAAGAGATGGCAGAAAGGCAAGAGCAAAGAGAACAACACATGTGACACAAAAGCAACCAGCTATGGTCCCATCCCCAGGATTCATACAGTTAAGAAAAGCAATTACAGTACTGGATTCTGAACTGTAGGAATATACATTCAAAATGGATGGAAAATGACTAAGCTTGTTTTTCCACCACAAAATGCTACTCAGTTGCAGTTTCTCTGCAACTCCACCAGCATGAGCAGCAGGCTACTTCTTTGTCATTTGCAAATTTAGCATTTATTTCATTGTGCCATATGTAGTCAAGGGAATTCAACTAGGAGAGGTAGGCTCTGTTCCACCCTGTTCATCCTCTACCTTCACAGAGGGAGGAAGATAAAGAGAAAGAGAAAAAGGTGAAAAATAATGTTCTGGGTAGAGTTTAGATGCAGTGAATATTGTCTGGGCCATTTCACATTACATACTCTCTGCTTCTGCCTTGCCTTTGCCAGTTACTTTCATAGTTGAACACTGGGGCTGCTTATCAGCAGTGCTGCAGGGAAGCAGCATAACACACTGAAAACTGCACAGGAAGGGACCAAAGAAGAAACTTCCCTCCCAGTAACAGGGCAATCCAAGCAGAAGCTCAAAAAACAGCTCGTGGCTCAGACAGAGAAAGCTCCAGAGGAGATCCCAGTGGCCTCGGCAGCGCAGCTGCTTGCAGACGAGAGGGAGGGACAAGTACATAAAGTGTGAGGCAGGATCCCTCCCACCCACCCTTATTCAAATAAGTCACTTAACTTTTCAGAGAGCAGAAAATCTCCTTACTCCTCTGGATTAAAGGCAGACTTGAAAGAATGTTTGTTAACAGACTACCCTCTCCCAGGATCATTCCTGATGCACGCCAGCTAACCACGCGCAGAGAACTATGTTAAGAGTGTCCTTGATTAAAAATGAAAAGTTTATTTCTAATTAAAATAATACCTTTAAAGACAATTAAAAAGCTTACTGGATATGGGATACCATTTTAATTTTGCTTCTATGGAGCTTGACAAACATTAGACAAGTGTCTATGGTATATCTCTTTGAAACATGGCCTTTTACCATCCTGTATGAGGTGAAATGAAATTCAAGGTCTCAGGGTTCCCATGCAAGGAAGAAACAGCAGGACAGGACAGTCATTTCAGAAGAAAACCTTTAGGCTGCTTACTGACTAAGGAGAGCTGAATCCCCATGGGATTCTCACTAAAACTTCAGGAAGCAATGATATTTTATCCCAGTACCAAGTATGTTTCTGAAGATTTCATTTGCCTGCCTACATGTTTTTTGTAATGATCACTCCATTGAAAGAGGAAAGTTAATAATAAAATATAAAGGCTAATTTACATTTCACTACATAATATCACAGAGTTAAGTAGGTAATTTTAAAAATAAGTTAAAATATATGACACGAATATTGCAAACAATATTACGAAAATACCCATTGCAAAAAATGTTCAGTACAAGAGGAAGAAGAAAGTGCAGTGCAGGAGAAAGGCTTGTTCCAGGGGAGTAAGTCAGATGAACAGGCCCATACCAAACAGATTCTAGGGAAAAGAAATAGCCAATAGGCTACTAAGCTACTTTGTCAGTATGTTGTTTAGTAAGAAACACTAATCCTCAAGAATCAAAGAAACAAGAGGGATCCCCTAAAAAAAAATGCATATTTTGTACATACAAACTGCTTCAGTCTGGCATGGGAAGCAGGTCTAACCCTGAAATGCCTTCCCCCAGTTTGGATGAAATACCAACATGACGACATCAAGGAACTCCAGTATCATCCGTAAACGGAAACGCTTTACAACTAAAGAACATGAACATTACAAATGCTTTCCTGAAAGTCAGCCTCCAGGTGACCTATTCTTAGAGCCAGAATTTCTTCCTAAAGATAGTGAGACAGATGCTGCTGCTGGGTGTGGAACATAAATCCATTGACTCAAGCCCTGCTGTGTTCACAACATCAGGGCAGATACAGTACAGGTGGCACACACTCTCCTTACACCTTCTGGGCCAAATCCACACCTTCTAAGTCTACAACAAACCTCTCATTAGCTTCAGGAAGTAAAAATCCCTGTGTCCATAGCATCCCAACCAACAAAACACTGCAATCACTTTTGCTGATTTGCTAAAACATGAAAACACAGAAAAGGCAATACTCGGGGAAGCTGCACCTCGGCACACTGCAGGTATGGCATGTCTTCTCTCATGTCTTCACACCAAAGCAAGCTAGCAAAATGTGAGTTAAATAGCTGACCTTTGTGTTACATCACAAGCTGCTTGTGAGGACACCAAACTTCCTCCTAACATTCTTTAAGTGCTCACTTGTATTGTAACAAAAGGCAAACATTGTTCTGATAGTTTCCTTAATATAGATAACAAAATGCTAAATAATAGCATGAAAGTGCTTTATTCCCTGCTTTCCCCAAGCCAACAAACTTCAGAATATGTGTAATAGTAATTTCATTTTCCTGGTACTTTTTCCATTTCTTTATGTAACTCAAACCTGTTTCAAAAGAAAAACATAGTTTCAGCACTTCTCCCAGCAAGTCTTACAATTATTTTCAGAAAGCCTGGTAATCGCTCAGTATGAGTAAAACAAAAAAAAAAGTTTGTATTTGGCAAAATTTGAGTTTGTCCGTATTTTCTTCTTTTTCTTTATTCTTCAATCCTTTGACTTTAGAAAACAATGCAATTTTGGTGGCACTGCTTTCCTCTCGGCTTCTCCACAGCGAACATTTTGAGATCTTCTGATTACAGTGAACTCCAATTTTGGAACATTATATACATACTTCTGGGAAGAGGGTAGTAACACATTCACTAGTTTCCTCTAACAAGTACCACCTTTCCCTTAGATCTGCTCCACCAGCACTAGAGCCAGTAACTGCAAGGGAAGGGGGTTAGACAAAAAACTGAAACCAACCAAAGACAAACAAATAAAAAAACAACATAAAAGCTACCAAAGACAAAGCAAAAGGGCGACTTCTTTTCACATAGATACCAACAGGAACTGAAAAAGCTAGTGACATTTTTATGCTTTCCAATTAACCAAGCTGCTCAAAGCTTATGAGGGAAGAGCAACAAGTATATGAAAACAATTCTGGTATGTTCTGCTTTCAGGACCACCAGAGCCATTTACTTTATCTCCAAACACTCTCTCACATCAGGTTTAGGCCCAATGAAACCTTCACTTTCCAGCAGCCACATTTTTCTGCCCCAGCAATCTCAGGTGAAGCTCATGGGATGCACACACTTGGGAGCCAGAGAACCTCCCTTCCACTTTGTCACTAGCTTGCAATTACAGTTACTTGCTGAAAGCCACAGAACTTCACCAAAGCTGAAAATAGCAGCATGTACTTATTTTGGTAAAGAAGGGCTTTTGAAGCAACTATTATAGTGGCAGAACAATTAGAGCTTACTTTTAAATATTTAAACCTACAGTTCATGGGGAATTTGCTCAGTAACCTATTCAATTCTTTATTAGTTTGAGGAGAACAATCCAATTTAAAATTCTTAAAATTTCTCATTAAAATCTATCTTTAAATCTCCCTTTTCAGCATCCCCAATGATGTAACAACCTTTTAAATAAAGCTAGTGATTGCTTTATTAACAATGTGAAGCCTTCACTGTAGTTTTTGCAACAGCTTTTTGGGGAATTCATGTGTGTCTGAAGAAACTATACAAAACAACTTGTAGTCTGGAAGGGGTAACTTAGTAATTTTAGTAATCCCTGAGTTGGTAGCAACATGGATGGCCAGACATGCTCAAGACTTAGAAGCAGTAACAGAAAGAAACCAAATACTGAATCCTGCACCCAGAATCTCCAAGGAAAACTATGTGCCTACCGATAAAGGCATCAAGTGCAAGGACATGCCTTGCCTCTGCAGCTACTCCCACTGCCAGCTGGATGTATCCAAAGGAACACTGCCTTTCGCCTGGTTGGCAAGGCTGCAACCAGGTCCTGATCAGACACCCTCTAAAGTAAATACCATTATATGAGTGAGTCAGGGCAACAAATCATTTGAAAAGCCCAGTTTGGGGGCTAGCCAATGGATTGGTTTTTCTTTCAGTTTGGAGCCTGTGGTCCTCAAGTGTCTCCCCAAACTGGAATGCGTTTTGAGAGATATATGACCAGTCACCACCAGCGAGCACAACGGCTGTCAGGTCCACAGGAAGGTGTTCCAAACCCCACATATTTCACCATTCCGGGGCAGCGGGAAGTATTCACACACGCACAGACCAAACCGAGTTTCCTACCAAAAGCCCTTTTTATTCCAGGGTGAAGGACCGAGACTGCTGTTCAGTACTCGGCGGGTACGCCATCCTTGGCTCCGGAGGCGTCACTACGGGTAGGGGAGCCCGGTGCTGCCCGTGGTCATCCTTCGCCGACCCGGGTACCGGCCACTCCCGCGGGGACTTTCAAGGGCAGATGACCGTCGGCACCCTCGGGCTCCCAGAAAGGAGCCACCCAGGTACAGAGCTACGGCCAGGGCCGGACAGACGGCGCCAGGGATGCCGCTCCCCTCCCCCGGCATCTTCCCCCCGCCGCTCCCGCTGCGCAGGCCCGGGGCTGCGCTCCCCCGCCTCCGGCAGCGCCGGCACCCGCCGGGGGTCCCCGGGCATCGCCGCCTTCGCCGCCGGTGCGCCCGGAGCGCGGGCAGCGGGCTCGGCCGCGCTCCACCTGCTCGCCGCGGCGTACTCACTCCGCGTAGCCCGTGGTCCAGGGCAAGCGTCGGGTGTCCTTGCTGAGGATGAGGATGGGGCGGGCGATGTGGTCGGCGGAGCACTCCACCTCGTCCGGGGACAGTCCCAGGAACTCGGGTCTCCCATAGGGGAAGCGGAGGGGCAAGTCCGCGCCGCTGCCGTGGTCGGCGCCCGCGCTGCCAGCCATGATGCCGCCCATGAAATTGGCCACGGCGGACTTCACCCGCGTGAGCATAGTACCCCCGCCGGCGGCGGCGGCAGCGCCGGAGCCGCCGCGCAGGGCGGGGAGCGGGGCGCGCCGGCGGGCAGCGCTGCGGGGCGGCTCCGGCAGCCCCCGCCGCGCTCCCGCAGTGGGGCGCGGGGCCGCGCGGAGCCGGGCGAGAGGACGGCGGGCTCAGGGATAGCCGCGGGGCCGAGGCCTCATTGCAGGTTTCCCCCTCCCGGCGCGGCGCTGGGCGAACTCAGCCCGGCGGCGGCGGCGGCTGCTGAGTCATGTGATAGCGCGGCTGGATTCGCCCGGGCGCTTCCTGCTCCTCCTGCGGCACCGGCGGGCTCCTGGCACACGCCGGGCACGGGCGGCCGCCGCCCCCGCCCGCCTACCGCGCCGGGGGCCGGCCCGCGGCAGGTGCGCGGCGGGCGGAGCCTGGCCCGGGGGCCGCCCCCGGCTGCCCGCAGCGATGCGGCCGGGACCCGCGGCCGTGCCCGCGGCCGCCTCCGGGATGCAGCGCTCTCGGAGTCGCTCGGGGTTGCATTACCGGGGGCTGGAGATCGCCGCCCGCAGTGCGCTGTCCCTGCTGCCCCTGAGCCAGCGACGTCCCAGCGCCGGCAGAGCCTGCTGATCCTGCGGGACAAGACTCCCGCTTGGAGGGTTTGCTTGGCTTCTGCTCAAACACGCCAAGGATATTTTTCCCCAGGAAGCCATTTGTTAGAAAAAAGAACCTGGGACGGTTGCCGAAAACGAGCCCTGCTGCCCGCCTGCCGTGGGTTCCCCCTGGTTGCCCGGAGAGGCCGGGGACATGCCCGTCCGCCGGTCAGCGCTGACGGCAGCCCCGGGCTCCTCCGCGCACCGCCGGACGTTTAGGATGCTGTCGTGGAGCAAAAGTGAAAGGACGCGGTCAAAAATATTCAAATTTGCGGACATTGATGTTTTAAACCCTTCTCTTGTGTTATTTTGGCCATGTCATACTCTTTCACAATTAAAAAAAAGTAAAATTGGGAAGTCTCGTCCATGTGGTGGTCACACAGATGTGTGGAGGGGTTGCAGATTTGGATGTGCCAAGCTTTAAGGAAATGTAGGAATGGAGCGGGAGCATATAGGAAGTCTGTCCTCTGAGCCCTGTAATTCTGCAGCCCTCCTGAGAGCTGTAAGTCTCACTGAAAGGCAATGACCTGCAAAATAGAGCAGGTAGGTACGGCAAACCTTGAGAGTAGTGAAGTATTGGAACTTAAACTTTGCAGTTTATTGGACCAAAAGACATTGAAAAATATCATTGACTAAAACTGAAACAGAGAGAATGCAGTGTTTGTTTTCCAGCCCCATACTGCAGTCACTATTCCACACAATACATGAGGGACAAATGTGAAGCAATATGGTAGAGTTTAAATTAATATCTCTGCTAGATGACAAGGAAAAACCCAGATAAGACATATGGGGAGACAGCTTAGCAGCTCACCACCCAAAACAGATTTGTGCAGATTTGCAATGTATGGATGCTTACCTCTGGTACAAAAATGTTGTAAGGATACAGCAGTACAACAGGAGGGATATGGCCTCTTCATGCTTAAAAGTACAGAGATGCCTTGATTTCAATTCTCTGAGAAAGAGGATCATGTTCACTTTTGAGTCAGAAGTGAAGCCTCACTTCTCAAAGGAAGTAATAATCAGTCCCTGCAGGGCTCAGCAAGTTCCCCATATCTACCAGCCAGTGATCCACCTGGTCCAAGCCAGACATTTTTCTTGGTGGCATGTAGACCTTTAAAGGTTTAGATATTGAGTTCCAATAAAATATTATGTCTGAATTCTCTATGCAAATGTTTGAAAATCGACTCTCTGTCCTTCTGCAATCCCATGACTAATGTAAAGATGACAGTTTGTAGGTTTTGTTAAATGGTAACTTATATATGACACTGGAGGAATCTACTTTCCTGTCTGAATGGGTAGCCATGCTGGGGAGTGAAGCTGCATGTGGGCCAGAAATGCATTCATATGAGCTCTTTGAAGCATCTGAATTATGCCACCTTGGCATACATCATATTCAGCATTCAACAAATCCAATAATTTTAATCATAATGAAAACAGATTTACACAAAGAACATTGTAAACTTTCATGCATAAAATGATTCTGATTGGAAATTTCTTCTGAAGATCATGTCCTCCAGCTCTTTTTCAAAGCAGGGCCAACTTTAAAGTTATGTTATATTCCCCAGAAACTTGTCCAGTCAAGTTTTCAATATTTCCAAGGATAGATTTTCAAGGATGGAGATACCACAACCTCTCTGGGTACCAGCTTGTATCTTGTTTATACCTTATGTTGCTTGCTTAGTTGAAGTGTTTTTTTCTTGTGTTTTTCATGCTCTGAATAAAGCCAATAAAAGCTCCCAAAGACTTTGGTGAGAGTATAAGTAGGTCTGATGTGAGATGAATGTGCCATTTCTGCAGGTTTGAACTTCTGGGTCATGTTATCACCTGTAGTCAATATCCACAGGTGTGAACTGAGCTGCAGAAATTCAGAGTGTGTCAGAATAGGTGTCTGACATTATGGGATGAAACTGTATATGCAGATGGAAAATGAAGCTGTATATGCAGACGGTAAAAAAGCTTTGACAGAATTGGTTGCATTTCTCTGTTAATTCCCATACAAAAAACACTGAAAGCATTATTTTTGCATATGATTCTGCTCAGGAAGATTACCATGTCATGTGGTGATCAATGAGATTATTCTTACCTTTTCAAAAGGACTGTGCAACCTTTAATTAGCATGAGGAAGCTCTTTATCTCTAGAGAAAGACCCTTCAGAAGCACAGTGCCTGAAGCATCATAGTGATGTGGAGGACAAAATGCCTCTTATTAAGACATCAATCCTACTTCCTGCAATACCCGATCTCTGTCTGCCTGCAGCAGCCCCCAGCATTTCTAGGCTTATCAGAGCTGATGAGATGGAAGCTGTTGGTGTTCTTGCCAGTTTGCATGCAGAAGCACGAATTAAGCTTAAAAATGAATAATTGTTAGCAGTACTTGAAGTGGTATATTTCCTCTGCTATACCTGATATCTACTGCACCATCCTCTAGTCAATATTAATTTCCTATGTGGATTTCCTTTTGAGAGACTTCTGCAACTGAAGCTCAGACAGACCATCTCTGTCATGGTTAGTGTGATTGTCCCAAGGCTTTGTGGCCCAATCAAGTCCCCCACAGAGCATGAGCTTGGTAGTCCAAATGAAGACTGCTATCCAAACAGTCAAAATCCACAAAATGTTATCAGGGCCAAGACCTCATATATGAAATTTAGGGTAAAATGTACTTTTTCAACTGCCATCCTAGCCAAAAAGTAACCAAAACCCAAAAGTTGTTTTGCTTTGTCAGGCTACAGGGACTATAGCAGGATTTTGCTTTCATAGCCTGATGCTGTTCATCTGCAGGTCATCCTCTGAGTACTACATGTATCAGACCCCTGCTGAAGCACTGTATGGCTTGGGGACATGGAAAGTGCAAGCAAGTATACAAAGTTTCTTTTAGACTAGTGTGAATCTAGTTGTGCACATGGGTTTTGTGCCAATATGCAACATGGACACATCAGGAGACCTGGGATGGCAGGCAGGAACAGGAGCTGGCAGTTGTCTGCCCCACTCCTATCTCCACGCATGTGGAGAATTACATTTGTTCTTGCTCATGCTGGGCGGCAAAAACCCCATTCTTTTAGGGATTCAAAAACTAGAAATTCTCTCACTGCTAGGACTTAACTGAGAAGGCATTTTCCTAGCAGAACTGTTGTACTGAATCAGGATAATTTTAACAAAGCAGGGGCCGGGACCCTGGCTTCCCATTTCCCTGCAGAGCCTCCCCCTCCTGCTTTCATTCTTTCTGCACCTTCCCAGAAATATTTTGGAGGCAATTTGAAGAGAAGGCCTGTTGCAGCCCTGTCTTTACTCAAAAACATGTTGTCCAGCTAAGTGGGAAAAGTATTCATGCCAGAAAAGTGGATACATACTCCTTCTTACAGTGGAGGACTAATAAGTTCAGCATTATGTGCTGCATGAAAGCATTCATTTACATACCTAGGCATAAAAAAGGCTCTGAGGAGAGACCTTAATTGACTAGCAATCACAGCAGAAGATGTCACAAAATCATAACACTTCTTGCAATCTATATAAATATAAATACTTCAACATAAGCTGCCCATAAACCTGCAAGTGTCACATTTGCTAAAGGCTACAAAATGACTTTTTCTACAAGAATCTACCTGCAAATATCCTGAAAATAATTTTCTAATTTCACAATAAGCACCATCATTATGATTCTGCTTCTACAGTCTCTTCTTACTTTCCATTATATCTTCCTTTTGAATGCCTGTAGCTAAATCTGCTAATAATGGGATGGAATAGGGATTAGTTTGTTTATGTGCTTCTGTTGGCAGCTTTTCATAGGGGAGGTGGAGCAAGATGATTATATCCTCTCTGGGGCCCCTTTGCCCTGGCTCTTGTGAAAGAACATCTTGCCCTGATAATGTTGTGAGATGCTTCAAAATGTCAGCAGTAGCAACACTTTTGCTGTCAGTCTCAGCAAAAAAAGCAGAAAGTAATCAGGTAGATTTCAATGTAGAGAAAACAGGAAAATAAGCAGGTGAAAGGACATGTAAGTGTTTGTAGGAGTGGAGGACAGTACTAAAAGCTTGACTAAGTACAGGCACATGTGCTTCAACTACCTCAACATTTCAGATTGAGTGGAAGCACGTTTCAGAATACAAGATAGTCTTGACTGATGCCTGGGTATAACATGGGTTAAACACGCAGGGAAGTGGTTCATATGTACCACATGGAAGGGAATTTTTGAGTAACCTGCCAGCTGCCTTCACTGCAGACACTCCTTACATGGGGATGTCTCAAGATTAAGCAGGATGGGCGGATGAAGGGCTTCTTGTCTGCTGGTGGTGGTTTAGGAGGAGATGGTGAACAGGAACAAAAGATTCTCTCCCTACCTTTGAGCTGTGGCTTCTCCTGCACAAGCTTTTCTGCAGTTCAGGCTAGCCAGGCACTGGCTTTCAAATGCATATCAGCCATGGTCTTGTTGGCAGCATGGTCAAGCCTTAACCATCATGCTTAGAGTTAGG